CGTAGCTTCGAGTGGCTTACATGCCGGGAATAGTTATCCACATAGCACGGTTGTAAGTGTTGGTGCAGCCCCTCGAAGAAGCAAGTATTGCAAAGGCTGTAAGATGAGGCTCGCCGGCAGTTCTTATCAGGGCCAGGGATGTTTACACGATGCACAGCGCATTGAATGCCCATCTCGGTGGCTATGGCAATGTCAAAACAGCATATGACATGCCTACCTGGTCAGGACGTTCCATCAGATATACACGTGTAGGGATTTGTGTTCTTTGCTGGGTGTTATTGATGCCTTATATCCTTGCGGTTTCACTCGCTTGTGGTGAAAGCTGAGTTACAGTGCATCGGATATGAAGATGTACAGCTAGCTGTGACTGACTCGAGTCATATACACTCGGAAGCTAGACTATGGATGGTAGAATCGACAGTGGTCTAAGCTATCATGTCAAGGCTTGATATCTACATGAATGGGCAGAGTCTATCAGCATCACATGGAAAGTGATGACAACTCAAGATGGAAACTCTCATGTCACTATGAATTGACATTCCCGCGGAGTCTGGCATACTTGTTCACGATAGCCTCGCTTGTCGGTAATACTATAATCGGCGGCAATAAACGTTGAAGCCTCTTAACCCTAAGGCGTTTTTAAGACAACGCTAGTGATAGCTACAGGATCAAGAGAGAGCTACTCAACTCGGAGCTGCCAAGGGCGGCCGCCTAAATATCTGATAATCTTACTTTGGACCTTTTGTTGCTCTAGAAAGAGAGTAGACATTGTAATGAAGTCCTCCTTCAACTGCTAGCAGTTGGTACTAATCAATGTTTCTAGTCTGTTTTGTTCATAGTAGCCTACAGGTGCAGATATCAACTGATCATTGATGGAAATCAACTACCGTGATAACTCGGAATTAACGCCCGACACTCGGTAGTTACTCTGGACATCCCCAGCTTCACATCACATCTCAAGACCAATTGCTTCTCCCCGGTTATCAGTCTCATAACGGAAACTTTGCCGAGGCAAGGGTCCAAAAGCCATCAACGGACAAAAAAGACTTGACAGGATGTTGACTTGAACTTGTCTTGGGGCTAAACTAATACTGGCAAAGTCTCATCCTCTCCGGATCGGACCCGTTTGTCCCGCTCGATGGGGCGTGAATTTGACTTGACATTGACACTCAATTGCTTGGTTTAGAGTGAAGGAAGGGGTGTGAAACCTGGAGATCCTCTTAGTCTTGATTGACAGACTAGGTAGACTACGTACCGTACTTAACTCACCGGTTGAATACGGACAAGAATAAGGTCAAAGAGCTGCAGCCGGCAACTCACCTGCCTCGGCTTGACAGATACAGATATACGTGCATACCCGCTTGTCGTGTATCCATCGCTCCATAGAACCAACTACGTATTAATGTATTGACATTCAGAAATTAGACGTTACGCACGTGTCCAAAAGCCCTTTCAGAGTCTACAGAGTTGAACTGTAAGCGCCCTCTTTAACCAACCAACTGCGGGCCGCAAAGCTTGGCTTGCATCCTGCAGTTCTGATCCCTGCTCTGCTGAACCCTCGGTAGGGAAAAAGACGCTGCGGACCGATTCAAAACTCGTTCCAAACTAGAAATCGCCGTGATGACATGACATGATGCGAAAATGTCTGTGACTGTCTGTCATCATGTGGCTGAAGTTGACGACAGCACGGCAGATAGAGACGGGATTTAAATCTCTTGGCTTCTGTAAGTCGTCACATACATTACATTCTTGTCTATCTGCATGGTATAATATCTGTAGTAGAGTATGACACGTATTGGGAATATATTCAGGCAGTACGTGGTGTATCAAAATGTCCCCGTAGCCCCAGCCTCTCCCGCACTTCAACGGGGGCATATTATAGTCGAGTGCAGGGGTTGAAACGCACTTTTTACGAATTGAATAAGAACCAAAGAGAAATATTATTACTTCTGTGAAGATGAGTTGCCAATGCTACTCTGGAAGAATACTCAACTGTTTGATATAAACAAGTCTCAAATTAATTCATACAAAGCTAAATCTCCGCTACTACATAGATATAAACCAAGATACGGAAATGCATTCCAAGCAACTGAGACATGCTTCCGTGACTTGCGTGAGCGCCTAGGCATAACAACCAAACAACCAGTCAAATCGCTCCTCATCGTAGATTGCTTCATGCATCCTTCTAGAACAGTCACGTCCCCTTGCCCTGCCCTTGCCCCAGCCTCGTCAATTTCGTCTAACATAAACATAAACAGTAGCGAATATCCTCTTACGGACCATTTCCGCAGCAAAAAACAAGGTCTTGTTGCTCCGTCTGTGCAGTGCAGAACCTGCCTTGCATATGTACGGTAGTTATTGCTTCACCGCAACGTCGATGAGTAAGGGATTAGTCTTGTAGCATCTGAAGAGGAAACAAGGACGATCTCGGAGGAAGCATTACGCGGCGATTAGTTTAGAGCCCGACTCAGATAAACTGCGTTGATCAGATCGCAGATCTTTTTGATCTCGTGGGTCTCGTGTTACTTCCCTGCCTTTATGCTGGTGGAGTATTGTTGTATTGCCTCTGCTACTGCAATATGGTTGCTGTATGGCTTCATCTCGAAACTACGGTTTGAGAGAAACAGATTGATGGCTGACGAACTCATATTGACACAACAAGTAACCATCAACGGTGAAGATTCCCCAATGCTGTTAGCGATCCGTAGAAGACTGAGGCATCTGCGTCGATTTGGGTGATGCATTGGCCGAAGGTGATACTGGAACCCTGGATAGTCTTGATAAAATAGAGCGTCTTAGACATCGACTGACCTCCTTTACAAACTTGCCAGACTTCCAAGTGAATGGCTTTGAAGCCCAGTGTCATCGATAAGGCCGTTTGGTAAGAGACAGACCTGGCAGCATCCAGGTAGTTGCTACCACGAATTGTAAACAACTTGAAGATAGTAAACTTACGACAGAAGGTATCATAGGCCGCAGTCCCGACTATATAAATGAGAAACGAAAGATGCCAATATTAATCGTGTAAAGCTACAGTCATGGTCATTGTACAGACTGAGCGGCGTAACATCAGTCTTCGAGATCGCATAGGTACTACCAAAGAACTTGAACCAAGATGGCCCGATATTCTCAATAGAGTCAAACACTAGAGCCTATTGAACGTAATGGTAGTCTGGGACTATTCTTTACTCTGCTGGTACTGCAAACCCTCGCCTTGGTGTGTCTGATGTGTGAGTGTCAATATCCGTTTCCTCATCTCGGAGCACCTAAACGGAGATCACAACTCAACCCAAACCCCAATTTTAGAGTTTATTCGACAAAGGGTAGCTTTTCCTCGTTGTTTGACAGTATTTTACTCTCGAATAAGTCTCGTTTGCCATGTCTTATTCACACCCAGCTGCATGAACAGACATCTCAGACGTCCACCGTTAGGTATACTTAAACTTAACCAGAACCACTTCCATCTAGATACTGATCTTAAGTAGAGGTACACCCAGAAAGATTCGATCATGCTCGTATACTTCTCTGCGAGTTATCAGGCTCATCTGTTACATTCGACACAGTAGAAGCCCTCTTCGTCCCCATGGAACTAAGTGGCAGATAGAGTCGAAAGGCACAGGAATCGTCGACGTCGAGCGGGTATACAGTAGTAGATCTCCAGTTGATCACTATTCATCTACTTTAACAACTGAAAGCAATATAAACTTCTCTCTTAAGTCTGTGAATGTAATCATGTGCTTGTTCGATACACATGTTACCAGTCTAGGCAGACAACACTGAAACCTGGCAAGGTAATATCGAGGTTTGCGACTTGTGAACTCTTTTAGTATCTATATCCTTCCGTCCTGGTCTCTATTTTCATCTTGCTCCAACTTTCGACTTTATCGTTCTGTCAAGTAGGTGTTTTGCAGTACCTATAACAGTTGCGACTTGGAATATATGTATGTTACCCGGAATCCATGAGGCTAACTGTGACAGCAAGTACTTTGTAGAAAACCGTGCGCTTCACGTAAAGAGCCAAGCTCGTCCCTCTATCGTCGATTTGCTTGACTCTTTTTGACATGATGCATTTCTAGGACGAATTATACACTTGCAAGAGCTGAGTTCGCCCATTGTCAGGTCTCCGTTTGTTCAAGCGATAGTTTCGTAACACCCTCGACCACAAGGTACGGCTACTTCCCTAGAAGAACATTCATATCACATCCTCTGGAATTCTCTGGGTAAGATAGTATAGTGGCTTGTGACTTTATGCGTAGCAAGCTCTGCTCAATTGCCCTGACCCGACACCTGCCCGCAGTCCCGCACTTACCTGCGGTTTGGGAACTCGTGAACAAGTCGAATTATGCATCATAGCTAAAAGTTCAAGCTTGGGAGAGCAAATAGGCAACGCTCTGTATAAGCAAGTTTATGCAAGCAGAGTAGGTGACACCACAAGTGTTCCCACACGGAGATCATATCATATCCAGAAGCCAGTCAAGACAACAAAGCAAGCGCGGTACGTCCCATCACTGCTAACACTCAGATCCTCTTAACGCCAGATGATTGTTTGCTTTTGAGTCCATGAACATAGATGGTCAGCGCGTGCAGCATGCTCTTATGTCCGACCACGTCCGTGTCGCTGATCAACATACGTGCTAGTGAAGGTCTGAGCAGAGCAAACAATCACACGGAACACCGAGTCATTTGCAGAGCATACAGAGTTTACAAGTTACGTTATGTACTTCACAGGAGGCTTGCTGTGTAGCTGATTCCCTTTATTTATTGAGATGTTGACTGTCTATAATTTCTGCCCGGGCAGAAATTCCACCTCGCTTGCTCAGGCCTTAGACAGCAACTTGATTGTTAATGACCATGAATGTACGATTTACTATTAATCACAGCACGAGTGTATTGGAGATCTCTCAAGGTTCTCTGCTAGCCAACTTCCCGTTTCCTTACCGGCAGTTGCCTTCTCCCCACTCCTCAGGTGATAGCCGCATATGCCCATCGGCATTTCCAATCTAGGGCCATAGCTCAGTCTTCTCCCAAGAATTATTAGTCAACTTGTAGTTCCATCTCTTCCCGTCAGCTGGATCAGACAGATCGACTTGATCTACCTCCTCCGGAATTATAACCGCAACGCGGAAGTTCTTCCTCGCGATCTCATCATCCAGATCCTCTACCTTTTGTCCCGGTCCAAGTCCAGCACCAGGCTTCTCATCTCGCTTTGTTCCAGGAGGAGGGTTGCGAAATGACCCTCGCATGCCAGGACTCAAGTTTCCAAAGTGTGCCGTGATCTCCTTGCCCCAATTCCACGAGGCTGAATCATCGTCACTCTTTCTCCGCATGTGCTTCTCGATCTCTTCCCTGACTGGCGATGCTGATGGGTCGTCAATGTCTTGGCCAAGAAGATAAGCGCGGCCGCGCAAACGCCACTGAGTCTTTGTCTCGACGACCCAAAAGACAGCCTCAACAGGTCCTCCACCACCAGACTGCGGAACATGCTTTCCATCCGGTGATAGCTCGGGAATCTTTTCCATACGAGCGTCGGTGGTGATGGTGAGAAGGTCACTCTCGTAAATAGAAGGGTTCAGTGGTGCCTGGTTCTTGGGGTTGACTGGTATCTCTGCCCAAGTGCCTCTGTACACAACAGTGCGGGAACGAGGTGTCACCCCAGAGTCATGATGGTGGAGAGTGCTAAGCATAAAGGTAGGCGAGTCCATCTTCTCGATATGAGATAGAAACGTCGAGCGCCATGGCGCAGCTGGAGTAGCGGGAGAAGACATTGTGTGTTGAAGATGGCTCAAAATCTGGGTTGTTCGCTGAATCGAGCGAGTGACGGGTCTCATAAGTGATGATATTATTTGAGGTTTATCTCCAAAACGTTGTTGCGTATTCTGGTGCTGCATGTGAAGCTGTTAGGAAGTGAGGTCGTTGAACAACCCCACTTTGATATCTAGCATCAGAGGTCGATGATCAGGACATTCGTCTATGAGTCATGACAACAGTATGTGAGAAACACCGTTCAAATAAGTGGTAATCTTGCATAAAACCACATTCACTACATTTTCCTGCAACATAATTGAGGATATATCAGGATATAATCAGACCGGATATAACAGCAACACGAGCATGAACCCATTCTTGCCTTATCCACCAAACTCGGGATGCCCTGAATCGCTTCTGCATGATCCACCTTCATATCCAGAGCATTTCCGTTTTGGCGTGGCATCTGATCGAATTTCATATCCGCAGTATCACCACTAGATCTTCATAGTGTTGAGCTTGTTGGGAAACTGTTCCTGGTGACAAAGATTTACGAGTCATAGGGTAGGTTGCTAGTCAGGGCTGTAAAAGCTGAAGGCCACTAATGACTCTGTTAGTCTGGGGCTCAATACTTCGCCTAAAATATCAGCGTAGTATGACTAAATAGTAACTGTAGGTCTTGTGTTTTAAATTAGCACATCAATTGCCTGTGGATATAACCAGTTGTTTAGTCCATCGTTAGGTCGAGCGTAGCTGCCGCTCACGATATCGCAAGATTTCGAATGCGAAATTGACATTTCCTAAGATCAGTACGTTTGTTGTCGGTTGCTGAGCCTTCCATACTCAATTAGAGAGTAAAGGTCGCGTACGTCATAATCTTTGCTTAGATTGGTCAAAGAAGTTCTCTCTGAAAGTTCTAGACCGTCCGGGGTCTGGGGCTCGAAGAGGGATAGCGACGGTGGCCCGCGGCAGGGCGGCGGCAATACCAATGAAGTTGGCGACGGAAACAGGGGTGCCGGGGCTCTACTTTAGCGTACTGTACTTTGGAAGTTAGGAAGTTCCGATGAATTGCCATTGTCACAATCGTCGTAATGTAGGGAGACGACTCGAATGAGATGGGGGAGGATCGGCCAGTAATTGGCGCTTCTCTGTTGTGCCGACTCGTATTTTAACCACTATTGTTTCGCATTTAGTGCAGGGAGAAGCGAGGGTTGACGGGCCAGTTAACTATGTCGGCGGTCTCCGAGAGAGAAAAAGGGGATCGACAAAATCCTTCTCTCGATTCTTCTCGAATCTTTCCCACTACGTAAGTGATGTACAGTAGCGCAACCGCCAACTGCCGTAATGTTCTCGTGGCAGGCCCAAGACGTCATGAACATTCGAGGCCAAGGAACATTTAAAGTTGAGGAAATAATTCCATGGAACGCAGAAGAGAACACAGCCAGCACAAGGGACCGTTCACATGCTCTATTCCCAGGGGCGCAATGGATATAGAGTTTAAACTGGCACTGATCCGAGACTGCTCCGCGTGTTCTGGTAGGCTAGTGCTGGCGGAGAAAGATGGAGATGGTCGTCTCAGGCACGGAGATCAACATAGCATTTGTCGGAGCGACGGAGTAGCTCAAGGCGGTCGAGCAGAAGACTTGGCTTTGGCCCGATACCACTGGCGCCCGACTTAGCCAGGGTGCCGGGCTGTTGGGATCGTGTTGTCTTGCTTCTTTGACGATCGCCTCCCCGATGTTCACCCTTGGGAATGGGTTAACTTTATCGTGAGTCCTGGGCATCAATGTAAACTGGAACCCTGTCCTGTTCTGTAACTGCGCCAACGTCAGCCTTTTGAGATGCCAGTAAACCTGCGGGCAACATCGCGTGTGTCCGACATCCTAGTTTCATGAACCTTCCCAACATTTTGAATCAATAAGCATTTTTTGCTTGTTTCGGGAATGTTCCGGCTGCGCTGGCTTGTTGTACAATTCATTTACTTGACTCTCATCTCTCCTGGCCACGGCAATTATCTCGGAATAGCATGCCTGTCTCACTGTGAAATAAATTGATTCATTTTCCCAAAGAGCCATAGGTGAACGAGGCGTTCAGCCCGGTGGGGATGATCAAGACTGTCGACTTGGTTGCAGCGATTGCTCTTCAACTAGCAAAATAGACCCTGGGCCTAGGCCTGCACAAGATTGCGTGTTTTTGCACCCCGGGTTTTCTTGAGAATCCAATGATGACATGATGGAACTTCTCAACTGAGGGTTGGACCAAATTATCCGGATACTTTGGTGGGTACACTAATACAGATCTGCAGAGCTTTTATGTCAAGGCCGAGGGCCACACCGAGGCGACAGTGCATGTACTAGTAAACGAAGCCGGCACTTGTTGACGAGGCCATCAAAACCGGACCTCACGATCGATCCGTGCACCCGTCTAGTTTTGGATAGACACGGAGCACCTCTTTGAAGGGATACCCGGCCGAGCCTAGGAGGAGAAAAGGAGGCTCAAAGAGCGGGATAGAGGTTTCTTGTTTCGAAGCGAGGTGGGAGATCCGGCAACGTGGTACTGTACTGAAGCGACGAGGATATTATCGTGAGAAAGCTGGCCTGATATTACCCCTTTGTATCGAGTAATGTAGTCTAGCACGTAGTGAGTGCACCACGGTAGATGGCCGTAGACTAGTTAGTGTGTCGGGGGGTGTTCGGTAGATTGCCATTGGTAATAGTCCAGAGCCACTGGCATTAATTAACATTGGGCGTCAACCGTAGTTCCTGGTTGTAATGTTGTAGGTTCGTGTCGACAGTCAACCGTTTCCAAGGGTTGAAAACCTTTGTAGCCAATCCTTGATCTGGCTTCGAAGATCGAGGGCAAGTTAGGTAAATCATCAGTAGAGAGTCTCATGCCAGTCTTATACAGCTGAACGCCAAGACATTGAATGAAATGAGGTCAGAATTAGGCCCAGCGCAGCGCAGGAGCCATGACCCCATCCGCAAACGTGGACTGACGGTTGGAAGTGGACGGACGAGACGATCCAATGCCCTTCCGATTCCTCTGAGTAAGAAGGGCCTGAGTCGTGGCATGGATACCCCTAGATGAAAAGTTCCAACGGGTGTACGCGAGGAATACATGTAGGTGCCAGGGAAAAACAGCCGCGATCTCTGCCATGGATGGTTGGAAAAATTCCCCTCGGTGCAGGATAGGGCAGGTACCAACCAAGCTTGAAGGAAAAAAACCACGCGCCAGCGGGCGCACCTTGGGTCCCCCAACGCTTATGACTGCCGTTAGAGGCATGGTAAGTTTAGGGGTCTAAGGAAGGTACAGTACCTACAGTACGCACTTTGCTGCGTTACTGCTACTTCAGGTCAGGTCTGTTCCCTCCAGCTCATTTTTTACCTTACTGTACTTCTCAGTTGTTTGGTTTGCTCCGCCCCCGCCTTTTTTTCCATCACCCCCATCTCGTCTCTTATTTGACTCTTTTTTCTCGCTTTGTCCCAGTTCGTAATTCCCTTTTCTTTTCCGGGATCTTTTTTCTTTTCGATCTTGTCCTTATTTCCTGCTGTATTATTGTCTGGTCTTACCTGGTATCTGTCTGTGCTGGGAACCACTCTGAAAGACACTTGATGTCTCTTACTCTATCATTCACAACTACATGCACCCGTCTCCGTCAGAGTCACGTCACTTCTCAACCGTCACTATCAGTCTGGGCTATCACTCGCTACAGCACAGCACAGCACGGCACGACAGCTTATTGTCTGGACTTGTAGTTCTACGGTAATGCTTCCAAGTTACCCTAACGAACTCTTTACACTTCGCCATACCCCAGCTATTACCGCTGCCGCCTCCGTTGCTTCTGCCGCGGCTCTCCATATCCGGTTCTTATTTCCAGCGCCCACTGCCAACAGCCGAATCCCGACGACAAAAAATCATACCCGTAGTGGTTTAAATCAGCAATTCGTATCAGCTCATCATCCTTTATTCCCGGAGCCGCCCTTTCAATCAAACCTAATCTCCAGAGCTCCCGTCCCGGCTACGGCTGCAGCTACAGCTCCATTCAAGCTACAGTCCCAGCTTTCATTAGCTCCAGGGTCCCAAATTGATTGATCTTCCTCTTGATCCGCTGCCCAGGCAAATATCAGATCTCAGCCCCAGTTTCCAACAGATCTCACGACTCCCTTCGCAACATCCAATTGACGTTCTCATAATATTCTCGACAATACTCGCGCACTCACTGGACAATTCAATTTTTAACGTCATCACCAATGGATCTTTCGCAACGGGCGCTTCCGCGTCACACTCACCACCAACCGCCGCCGCCGCTTTCAAACCCATCGCCATCTCTTCAAGCGCACCATTCTACGTATAGTCCTGGTAGCGTCGCTTCCCATCCGACTCTTCCTCTACCAGGAACACATCCGCCACCCTCAGCCTTGACACCAGCCTCGGCCTCAACCTCACCAGCATCCGTCTCTCATCGACTACCCTCCGCGCCAGCTTCAAATACTTCGAGACATCCTCATGGCGACTACCTTCCTGATACAGAGGACCCAGACGCGTCGACGACACCTGTTGATGGTGAGGAGCCTGCAAAGAAGAAGCAAAAGCGCAACAAGCCAACTCTCTCTTGCCATGAATGCGTTGAGCGCAAAACCAAGGTGCGACATTTTATGCGATTCGCTTTCTCAAATCATGTTGTTCTTATTTCATTCCATCTTATCTGTCCGCTTGACCCATGCGAAGTGAACCCACCCGCTGTTACCTGAACAATACAGCTGCGCATAAACTTCGAACGTTGTTTCTTGCGTGCGCATTTGGGTTTTGACTTTTGTTTCATATTCCTCAAATGGGGTTTGTGGTATCTGAGCGGAGTTGCTGACATCTGATCATAGTGCGACAGAGGTCGACCTCACTGCCTTGCCTGTAAGTACTGCTGCATGTCCAACCTTTGAATTATTACTGACCTGATATAGGCATAAAACGACAGACAGAATGCAGATATGCGCATGTTGCTAATCTACTTGAGTATGGAATCTCTCGGTTTTGGTGTCGTTTGTTCTACTTTAACAATCAATTAGGGAAACCACCCGGTCTGCCGCCAATGGCCGGCGCATGACGAAACCACCCAAAAAGAAGTCTGGCTCAAGTGGAAAGTCCCCGATCCCAAATATTGCCGATAGAGGCATATCGAACGACCCAAGAGCAACCTCCCGGGGTGCTGTCGCACTCTCTATTGGCCTCCTATCCAATGTCCCCTACTCCCTACCCTCTGCCAGCAACGTTTTCGGTATTGGATCTGAGCACCCTTTCGCCAACTACTGGACATGTGAAGGAGGCTTAGCAGAGGTCATTTCGGTCCTACCTGACAAGATACAGGCTGATATACTACTCAGTCGCTACTTCGAGTGTGTTGACCCTGTGTATCCCATGATACATCGCCAAACGTTCTATGCAGATTACGAGCACTTCTGGCAGATGAACCAGCAAGACAAGGGCGATACAGATCCTTCGTTCATCGCATTGATATTCGTCATGCTGGCATTAGGTACCCAGTTTGTAACATCGACAACATCAAATACGGAGCGAAAGCAAACAGCCGAGTTCTATGCCTCAGCGAGTAACCAGGCTTTACGTATCGCCTCATATCTCAGCAGTGCATCACTGCGCTCTATCCAGGCCATGGTCTTGATCGTGTACTTCCTCATCAACGACAACCATGCTTCAGATGGGTGGGCCTTTGCTGGCATTCTGATCCGACAGGCTTATGCAATGGGTCTGCATAGAGATCCAAATATTGGTATGTTCCGTGCTTATTTTTGTAGATGTGTATTGACTTTGTACAGTAACGCCGAATGCCACTTTGTTCGAGAAGCAACAGCGCAGGAAGGTCTGGCAAGCCGTCCTGCTTCAAGATACGTTCCTTACTGTCTTGCTCTCTCTACCACCCTCCGCGACACATACGGACGTTTCCGTCGAAGACTTGCTGGATGATGGTTCGTCGATTGCAAATAGTGATCCTACGGATACAGCATATATCAGGGGCTCATGGACCTTGGCCAATCTGGTTCAAGAGACTATCTGTTCACCAAGATCACTAGATCTACCCATTTGTTCGACGGCAAGACATAAGTCGAAGCTGATCGCCGACTTCCGAGCAGTTTATCGATCCTTCCCTGATGTCTTCCGGTCATGGGATCCAGATAGCATCACAGCGCTTGCAAAAACAAATAAGAGGGTTGTGCGCCAGACCCTGTTCTTGACAAGCAACTACTTCCATAACCTGATGCTGGTTCACGCTTCTGAAAGCCCTGACGTCCCTGTCAATGTTCGTGGGACACTGGAGGCGGCGCATGATGCCATCACTGCCTTCTTTCTCCTTTTCACTCTGCTTGAAATTGAGGCACGCGTCTGGTGGGTTTTCAATCATCGGGCCTTCCTGGAAGCGCTGTGCATCGGCAATGTTTTAAAGGAGGCGGCACGCGAGCCAGGCGGCGCAGATATGATGGCAAGGGATCCTTTGCTCGTGAGGGCGAAGGCTGATATCAGTATGTATCCATGTAATATCTTCCTTTCGAACAATTCGCTAACTTGTCAATAGCACGCATGATTTCCATCATGCAGGTCATGGGCGAAGACTCTGAAGTCGCCAGAACACGAGTTCAGGTCTTGAGTGACTTTTTGAATTAGGGGAAGAAGTAATACTCTATACGGGGATTCCAAGTAATGATTCTATGAGACGGATGTTGTAATCCCGGGAAAGTCTTGTTCCTGTGAATCAGCAGATGACAAGCATGGCGAATGTATATATATAGAACGCCATATGCTCGACTCCTAAACTGCAAAACTCTTAAGGCGATTAAAAGAAGACCTATAGAATCAATCCTGCGCATGTATAATTGATGAAGCATCTCGAAGTGTTCTGCTGTGTATTCGGAAGTGGCGTGCTATGTTTGAAATTCATTGTGGATACGATGGATGTTTAGATAATCGAGTCACCAGCGTCGAATCGGGAGGATCTTAGAATATCTTGACAATACTTGAAGAAGGGAATATGAGAATGTTGAGGGGAGTCTTGAATCACGAACTGCCAAGACAAGACAAACAAGGGACTTGCCGAGACCGTGAAGCCCCACTGAAGACTCGGCTGGGGCTGAATGATGGACTCGTCAGCTAGTGAAAGCTGATTGGCCGAGTGACAGACTACGCATGGTGATTGCGCAGCCCGACCTTTAGCGACCCTTAGCACGTTAAAGACGACAGGTGAGCTAGACTCGGAAGGGTCGCAGAATCGTTTCAGCGCCCGAGCTACTGCGTACGACAGGGCTTTTAGAGGCTATTCCAATGCTTTTTGGGGAGGCATCCGCGTGGCCAGGCATCCCACATCCCGTCTTATCCGTCTAGTCGCGTGGGCTTTTTTCTTCGCCTTTTCTTGTTCATTTCCTCGGAATGTCATCTCAATTTAACGTTAGACTAGGACTCGTATTGATCCGATCTTATTCTTGACTTATTTCCCTCACAAAAACCTTCTTTCTTTAACCATCCGTTCCCTTTACCTCTTTCTGTTTGGTTTTTCGTATTCCTTCTGCCTTAAGCTTCTTTCTAGCGAACGCGGCTGCCTTAACCCCTGGCTTGTCGTGTAAGAGGGATTTGACGTCACAGGACCCTTTTCTCACAACAACAACATCAACACCACAGCTTGTCGATAATTATCTCACGATGCGCGGCCTCACTCAGGCTGCAGCCGCCATGCTGACACCCGCGTTGGTGTTGGCCCATGGACCTCCTCATCCTCCCCCTCCCCCTCCCCCTCCTCCACCCCATATGGGCTTTCTGCCTTCAGCTCTCGACGTGACACCTTCAGCCTTTGTCACCGTCAAGGTCCCTTGGAGCGAGACTGAGTCGTATCCTTTGGTACGTACTTGAGTCCTGATAACGCCTTTCTCACGCTAACATGTACTTCAGACACTGCGATTTGATGTGGAGGAGTCAGAAGAAGTTTGCGGTCCTGCCAGCATCAAGCTCAATGGCGAGCCTCTCGACCAGGACGCCAAGGGCCAGGGCGTTGGATCATTCCTCATCAACAACGAGACCACTATCTCAGCCGATTGGGCTTTCGAGTGCATCGGACCCAAGGAGTTCCCCTTCGCTCAGTCAATGCGCTTCAACGTCAAGGCTCTTGATGACATGGCCGTCTATGAGGAGTCTTCCTTCTTGATGACCTTCAAGCAAACCGCACCTGTCCGAATTTCCGATGTTGGAAACGCTGACTACGTATGGAGTCTGTCCATGCCCTTCAGCAAAGAGAACAACACCTCCACAGGCGACAAGCCCGCGTCCGATAACGCGCCTCCGATCTGGGAGAGCCCCCACCGCGATTTCCAGGACCCCGAGGAGGAGCTTCAGGTCGAGTTGATGGAATTGGAAGCTCTTCACAAGCAGATTCTTCAGCTTGAGCAGCTTGTTGAGGAGCGAGAGGCGTCTGTTGCTAAGAAGCTTGGCAAGAAGTACCCTCCTCCTCCCCCTTCTACTTACAAGAAGATCAAGGATTGTGATGGAGTTCAGTGTGTTTTGCACACCGTGACTGATGAGATGCGACATACCGCTCATCGATTCTACGACCACGTTTTCGGACCTCCTCCTCCTCCCCCACCTCACCATGGCCCTCCTCACGGTCCTCATCATGGAAACGGCACTCACCCTCACCCTCATCCTCCTCACCACGGTCCTCCTCACCATGGACCTCCCCCGCCTCCTCCTCCTCCTCCCCACCATGGACATCTTCCTTTCCCTTTCCCTGGAGGCCATCCTCCCCCTCCAGAGTGCCCTCCTTGCTCTTGTGATCCTCATCACGGCAACCCTCCCCCTCCTCCTCACCACGGAGATAAGCCCCACGAGCCTCACCATGACAAGCCTGAGCATGGTCCCGATCACGGTCCTGAGCACGGTTTCCACGCTGAGGGCCACGAGGGTCACCCACCCCCACCTGTAAGTTTAATCTAAATATGCGATGATAGTTTCATTTGCTGACTACTTTCAAGCCTCCTCCCCACCCCATCATTGCAATCCTTGGCATCGCCGCTATTGCTCTGGCTCTTTTCATCGGTATTGCTGTTGCCTACATCCACCGTCGCATCGCTCGTCTCAGCCCCGAATCTCGACGTGCTATCCGACGCGCATTCCGTCAGTCCCCTGAAGAGCGCCGTCAGGGTTCTGCTCTGAAGGCTGCTTACCGTGCTTTCATTTCTCGATGGGTCGAGAACGACGAGGACGAGAAGGAGGCCATGCTCAGCGGTGGCCGACACCGAAGAACCTCCAGCGCTGCGACCATGGAAGAGGAGATTGCTTCCTTCCGTGAGGCTGCCAACATGGTTGATGGTATCGTTGCTGCTGAGGAAGGTCACCACAGCCGCGCCCATTCTTACAGCTACGCCCCTAGCTCTTCTACTCCTTCCCACTCATCACACCACACCGCCGCAGGATACCCTACTTTTGCGGACGATGCAAGCCTTCCTCCCTACGATGACGATGAGCGCGACTCATCCGTTGTCACAGATGGATGCCGATACACTCCTGGCAGCTCCGATTATACCCCTTCCAACTCCGGATCCAATGCCAGCGACGTCCTCGGCGACACCAAGAACTAAAACAAAACTATATGAATTTTAAGTACAAATGATTTTCTTTTGCATACAACTATGATACACCATATTTCCTTATCTGTTCAAATTTTGTCTTTTTTTTGCACATAATTGTGAGATTGGATATCGGGACCTACTATAGACTGTTACTTAACAGCAGCTCAATAGCTATCTAATACCACAACTTAAACTGTACAACTCTGCTTCATTCTTTTTAAAGTGATCATGTTGGTAACATAAGGATCATGCTCTAAGGCTTGCGGCGCCATATAAAATTGCGTAAGTGCTACTCTGAACTAGCATAAGGTTACCGAATTATTTCGTCTCTTATTCTTCTGGCACCCTAATGCTGATGCCTATTGTTTTGGGTTTGTCACCCAAGAATGAATTCCTCGTAGTTTTTTGCTATCCTCGTGATGCCTTCCTCTAACTCCCAACCCTTGACTTCGCATACATGTCGGTACATGTTCTCCAACGCTTGGTCCATGTGTTCGCCCGCTATGTGGAGGTCACTTTCTACGAGAATGCTGTCATCAGGCAGGGCACGCAGTACCTCATCAGTCTTGGCGCCACTGGAATCTGTGCTAAGATTGACAGCCGTTGATAGCGAGACGAAGATGCGAGCTGGGATTGTTGGGTTGAGGTACTGCTTCAACACTTCAACGTTGGCACTGAATGAATGAAGACATATCCTCGGAGGATATGGTTTCTCACTATCGTCGTCTTCCTCATCCGAAAAGTCCTCGGCGCCCTTGGCGACAAGACGTCGTTTTCGGCGTGAAATGTACTCACGCTCATGGCCCTTCCAGGTCGCGGCAAGAGTGTCATGCAGCACTCCGTGAGCCTGTACACCGTGTACACTGACAGCTCGGCGAGTCTTGGCGGCGAGGCGGAGCTGTGCAGCGAGAATCTCGCGCTGGTGCTCTATTCTTACTCTATGGGGACTCAGACGTCGACCCTCGCGGCCGCCAGCTGTGAGAGTTGAATCTCTTTCTGCATGTTCAGAGGGATTCCATGCTTCGGGGAGACGAAAGGCTTTATCTACACCGATCTCTCCAACCAAAGCATGAGGATTGGCAGATAACCGGGCCTCTGTCTCTTTGAGAAAGGTACCCACGGCGACCGGAGTGGGGAGAGAGGCAACAAAATCTGGTGACGGCTCCGGTTGCAGGACGGCGTTATAGTGGGCCTGCTTTGCGGCAGCGGCGTCGGACTCGGAGCCGGAGCCGGGTACGGACTGATATGTCGGGTTGTCGACCGAATCATCATAGAGAAGATGAGAAAACCAGGGGTGCCAGCCAAAGGAAGGGACTACACAAGTATTGCGTTCTCCGGAGCTTTCCTGCAAGATTTGCTTGAGGTCCTTGTTATAGTTGCTAGCAACATCTGCAACAAGATCCTGATCCTGGGCTCGTGTTGCCATGATGGTCAATGCAGCTGCACGCATGGAAGGGATATCCTGGGTGGAATCCATCGTATCAGTTGGGTGACAATGCGCATCGCATATGGGCAGATGCCAGGGGAACTGCGGTTGGTCGCCCGTAACAGGTACTGGCTGCTCATCGTAATTGTGGGTGTGTTGGCACATTGTCTAAGGCTTAGGATAAGGTAGCCTAGGTGCTTGCCTAAGCTTGCATAAGGTGACCAAATTATTTCGTCTCTTATGTTCTCGGCGGTCAATCAGAATGAGTTAAGTTTGCACTGTAGATGCTTGTTGAAATTGACATGTGTGAAGTTCATCGTCGATGGTTGAGATGAGGCTTAACGTTAGTGCCTTGGGAAGGCAGCAAAAGAGTGATGTCAGCGGGGAAAGCTCCTTCCATGATGTGGATCATGATGGGGACGGCAGGTGGGTAACAAGATGATTGTCCTCTAAAGCTTAGGCTACTAAAATAAAGTAGCCTAAGTGCTGGCCTAAACTGACATAAAGTGATCGAATTATTTCGTCTCTTATGCTCCTGGGGACCGATCTTCTGAAGCCCCGAGGGATGAGATCGAGGCTCCAAGTAGAGTTCCATCAGTTATGATGCTGAAGTGCTTAGAATTAGTGACCAACAAGCTCTGTCTAGTTGCAGTACAGTTATCTTGGCGTAAGATTGAATTACCTATTCATGGCTGATGCCTCGGTTGAACTCATGTGACGTGGGTGGTTCGCGTCTGTTATCATCGAGCAGTCTCTAAGATAACCCACCCAGCTTACTGAGGAGTTGGCTGATTTAGTGCTTTCCAAGTTCCAGGGTCTTTTTGGGTTATCGTCGATCATCGATGGGGATAGGGGATCCTTGAAAGTTTATTTCTTTGGGTTTGACATCAATTGATAAGGATATCGTCTGCTATGAATATCTCGACACCCACTTACTCCGTAGAGTCATGTCATTCTCACATTGATATTTCATGTCTTATACTGTAACAAAGCAGTGCTGTGTAACGTCAGTGTACATTAAGATTCTCCTTACAATCACTTGCATCTCTTGAATGCACCTTCCCCGCACGCTCTTCCATGGTGGCTTGTTCTGTTGCCGTACGATGGTCACCTCAGACACCAGAAAAATGACATCCAAACGACCCTAAGCCAAGCCAGGCCAAGCCGCATCTTTTCACATGTGATTGCCTCCTTCCTCCCTCACTTTTACTCTTTTCTTCTCTTCTCTTTCCCTTCTCCTCTTGTCGCTATACATATTTATTATTGCTTCCTACAGCTTCACTGTAACCCTGTAGAGTCGCATTCTACCGTCCTTGGTGTATTAGAAACCGTTTCCAACCCCTCCTCCGGGCGCCTCGCTTTGACTTCCCCGGAAACGATCTGTCGAATCACGGCTTCGGGACATGTCGACGTATACTTCGTCCTAGAGCGGCATCCGTAGGCTCTAACTTATCAGTGAGGTAGAGCTCGGTACTTCAAGTCATCAACTACTATACATTAGTCGCCCACCTCTTTTAGGCCGTCCCCTTCTTCGTCTTCATCTTTACCTCACCTCTCCCATCTCGTATCTTCATCTGTAACAACTAATACCATCAACGACTCTGCAACTTCCTCGTGGTCATGTACTGCTAGGATCTCTGTAACACCATCTACCAAAAATGGCTCTCCTCAATCCCGTCTACGCTTTCGTCGTGCCCTTCCTTTTCGTCGTCACTGTTCCTCTCGCTGTCTTCGCCGGTATCACAACGACCATTGCCTTTTCTGTTCTTATTCTCCGAGTACTGGCCGTCTATCTCGACGTAGCTCTATCTTTCGTCCCTCATTACCTGGGCGGACGAAAGATCCGGCCGTACCATCCTAATAATCACTACCTTCGTCAACCAATTCTCGAAAACCCAGGCTCTTCGGCTCTGTACACCAATCCGACACCACCTTCGGCCGGGTCAACGGCTTTTGAATCATCACTAAAGAGACGTCGCCATCGAAGAAGCTCCAGTGCCCTATCTACAGCCGGTACTACTACGCCAATTAGTGAAAAGGCATTCGGCTTGCTTCCTAGCATTGGCCCAGAGAGGGACTTTGAAGGTGTGGGCGGTTGGCGGCTAAGTGGTGATGACGAGACATGGACCACCATCAATTCAAGACTTGAATTACCCGATAAGCAATACCATGGACGCAACCATCACCGTTCCCCATCTGGCCCGACAACGCCTGGAGAGGGCGGATATCTTATGATGAAAGGCCGTACTCGAAGCCCGTCAGCAATACGCACTTCAGCATCTCCCAACAGTGCCCGCACGAGGACACCATCTGGTCCTCGCATCGCTTTTACAAACAAGTCCTTCATCGACAGTTACTTTCCGAGTCTCAAGACTTCACCCAAAGGACTTAAAAAGTTGCCATCTCAAGGAGTTGTCGACGCATAGGTCCTCGAGAGACCAATGCTATCATGTAAATTATTATCACGACTTGATGAAAGATTTGGGATCAGTGGATAACTGGGACGGGACCAAAAGTGTCAAAATGAACAGTAATCCGGGGGTCGGAGGGCGTTTGAGCGAGATTTGTCATTTATATTGGGTATGAATAATATGCAAATCATATCGTCATATTTAAGAAAAAGAGTACTAGAACGAACCGCACTCTCATTGTGTACTAAATTTATGTACTTCTCAATGCCATATTTCCTGGTATCTGCAACGCCAAAAACGCCAAACCTAGGAAATCCATTATCATGATAACATTACCAAGCCAAAATCGGCCATCCCCTCTTTAAAGAGTCTGCCAAAAGTAGTTTGCATAGAAGAACCGAGAGAACTTCTTGTCCATGTTGACAACATGCACATCTCCCTTACGGTCATTTCGGATAACCGCCTTGGACCATTCGCCATCCCTATCATCACGCTCAATGTCGATGCCCAGGCTGCGATACACCTTGAGTCTCAGCAGCACTTCATCATCAACAGGGTCTCGTCGTCGGGCGTTGGCAGCAGCATCTCCTTCCACGCCCTGGAGTTCGAGCTCACGCAGACGGGCCTTTAGGTCTGCTGCAGTAAGGGCAAGACGTTCCGCATCGGTTTCAGCGTCCGCAGCGGCCTTTGCGGTACGGAACTTGAGGGTGTCGAGACGTGCGATGTTGGAAGCATGATCCGCGGAGGAGTGCGAAGTTACGAGGTCGTCATGTCGCGATGTGTGGGTTGCGAGCTGGCGGGAGAGCTTCTTAAGGGATGACTCGGCTTCGCGGACGCGAAGATCGCGGGCTTGTTGGAGTGTGGATAGGGATTCTGTGACGCGCGAAACAGCGGTTTTGTCTGGTGCAATGTTGAAGTTCTCGATTGTGTGGTGAATGAGCTGGTGGTTTGTTAGGCATAATTCAATAGGGGTTTGATGGATAATGACTTACAGTCGCGGGTTCTTCGGAGAGCAACATATTGACGGGTATGACTGGCTTTGGCCAGAGTGTTTAAAAGAGCGTTCTGATTAGACTTGTTAGAAAACGTGAAACGTGATTTCGTTGGAGTTTGTTTAAGTGGTTATGATGAACCTGGTGTTTTTGCCAAGTCAAGTTACCCATTTGGGATAAGCACCCTCGGTCGTCACGACGACAATCTCGAGTTCCTTATCAGGCAGGACTAGAAGATGCACACCCCACCTCGAACTTTCTCCCTTCCTCCAATAGCCGAACCTTTCCCGACGACGCCGCACATCGTCATCGGGTCCCGCCACAAGCAGGCAAGCAAAGGGAGCAGTGAAGCCGAAAAGAGCTACCTCTGAATAACACGTGCGAACCTTGTCCTTGTCTTGTCTTGCTCGCATTCCCACCTTTGACCTAGATAGTGACAACTTCTGCGCATCAGCTTTTTTCTAGGCTGTCAACTTCATCCATTTGTCCCTCTATCGCACTCGGAAATCCGTCAAAATGGTTACCGAACTACCATGTGAGTTCCCGTCTGCGCCCAACTGCATGATAGACAAGGTCTTTAACATATATGCTAACTATGATGATAAGATGCGCTCGATGCCGAGACGTTAGTTGTTCTGCCCTGCGATATCGAATATCATATATCCTGACTGATGGCAACAGGCCGCTAAATCCCTCCGAGCTCAACGTCCTAAAAGCGCAATATGAGCGCGAGGGTGAGATGGTTGGCGTGCAAACCAAGTTCAACTATGCTTGGGTAAACTTCACTCGTCCTAGTTCTTCCAGCGACCAAGACTGACATACGATAGGGTCTCGTGAAATCCAACCAGCGAAACGACCAGCAGCTTGGTGTCCGCCTACTCTCGGATATCTTCCGCATCTCCCCCGAGCGCCGCCGCGAATGCCTCTACTACCTCGCCCTCGGCAACTACAAGCTGGGCAACTACGGCGAAGCCCGCCGATACAACGATCTCCTCCTCGACAAGGAGCCCGCCAACCTGCAGGCCGCGAACCTGCGCTCGCTCATCGACGACAAGGTTGCCCGCGAAGGACTCATGGGCGTTGCCATCCTCAGTGGTGTTGGTGTAGCAGCTGGTGTTGTGGGAGCGTTCCTCTTGAGGAATGCTAGAAAGAGGTAGAGAGAGAGGAAAAGAGAAAGGAAGCAAAGGAATGGGGCAGAAAAAAACGTGCAGCAGAATTCTATATTTGCATGGGCGGCTTTGGGAACATGATTATACTCACTCTTCGCTATAACCTCTGGATTGGGCCCTTGTTTGGAGTCTTGACTTTACGAGATATGCTTGTACTACATAAATGAAGCGACTCTTATTATATAAGTTACCATTATTCAACTGTTGTCCACAGTAGCTGAATAAGATGTTAGAACAAATGTTTCATCTTTGTGATAGTCAAGACTTCAATGAGTCTCGGTGGTAAACTAGCCGAGCTAGACGGCGATATGCATCCGATGCCTACTATGTGCTACATAGAGAAACACAAGGTCGAGACAATCATTGTGTAGCTTACATGTTCGTCTAACTTCGGCACTTGAACCAAGACAATTCTTACTGTCAAGACCGGAGCAGGCTTAGGTATCCACACAGGTTGAGATAGAACTACGTTTATGGTATTGTCAGTGCCTTGATACCGTTTCATTGGAAGTTCTATACACATGATGCTACTTGAGTAATTAAAATCACAGACAGTCACGACAAGCGAAAGTGAAGACTAGACAAATAAGACAATGTTAAGGAAACCAAGATCAAGCCAGCTAAGAAACAAACCAAAGAGACAACGCGTCACCGTCTAGGGGTATCGTCTGCTGAGATATTATAACCACCTGATCTCAACAAACGTACGACTAAAATACAACAAGCTGCTGCTCGACAAACTTCCTTGGTGAAGCCACCCATTTGATCTTATCTAATATTATCCATGACCGAAGCACCACCAAGCCCTTGGTGGAAAAGGAACAGGTATTCGAAGGTACAGTAAGTGGGCAAGGCCACTAAGTAGAGTAGGTAGGGGGTCCAAAGAGCCAGCATGTCTCCCAAAAGTATACGGCGAATGGCAACACAAATGGAACATTTACATATTCCACGTCTCTCCCAACGAGAAGCGCTCAGATATAAACACCTTTCGCCGGTAACCCTGCTGTGCTCCTCTCCAAAGATGTTTTCGTGTGACAGATTAGAGCGAGACCAACAGGTCGTGAGGCTTGACTTGGCTCATAGCATGGCGGAGAACAACGCTTGCCTGTAACTTCTAGCCATACCGAGACGCCTGCAAAGTCATATAGTCTGCATCTCCCATCTTGCACGACTATTGTTCATAAATGACTTTCTGTTCCGTCTCCGTACGACAATCATTCCATGTGGCGTGTGTGGTGTGATGTGATGTGATTAGGAGACAATGTTTTGTTTCTTAATTAAAAAAGGGTGAGAGAAAGAGGCGACAAAGAAACTAGAATCGAATGCAATGAAAGGCGTCGAGCTGGTATTGTATGGGCATCATGGGTACTCAGACATGGATAAAGAAAGATGAAAGGAATGCGCAGGTCGTCAAGAAGTTGGGAGCTTAGCGAAGAGAGAAACCCTTTCGCTTGCCCTCCTTCTCTATGGGTCGTCCGCTCTCGACGCGTTGCTTCTTGTCTTCGAGCTCGAGTCGTTGGCGGTCGAGCTGCTCCTTCATCTCCTTGTGTCGGGCGTACAGTTCCTCTTCGGACTGCTTCAGCTTGCTCTCCTTTTCTGCCACCTTTTGCTGGAAGACCATCTTCATCTCGGCCTCCATCTTGGCAAGCTTCTGCTCGTGCAGGGCACGCTCCTCCTCCTGCTTCACAGCAGGGTTGACCTCCTTGAATACGCTGGGGTCTTGAGACACACCCATGGCGAGCAACTTGTCGGTACGGTAGTTCTCGTAGAGCTGGTTGTTGGTGTGCTCCTTGAGCTCCTCCATGTGGGTTCGGATGAGCATTTGACGAAGCTTAACGAAGTCACAGTGCTCCTCGTTGTCGACCTCGATGATACCCCAAGGGTAGGCACGACCGCGGATCTTGCGACCATCGGCGCTGGTGATCTCGTTGTTGGCGCCAACGACAGCGAAAGGAACCTTGGACATGATCTCGTTGTTCTCGGCGATTGTCTCCTCATCGTCGAGCTCGTATCGAGGACCCTCGAAGATCTGGATACCGTGGTGCTTGATATCGGCGAGGATCTAAACCGGTCAGTAATTGTAATTTTGCCAACTGTTTCAGAAGACTTACTCGTGACTTGAAAGCAGCGATCTCCTCATCGGTAAGGGTATCAGCCTTGGCAATGACGGGGATCAGGTTAACCTTGGTGTGAAGGCGGCGCATGACCTCAATGTCGAGAGGCTTAAGAGAGTGACCAGTAGGCTGAATGAAGAAAACACAAGCATGGATTCGGTTGTCGACGATGTTCATGCGGTTGACCTTGTTCTCGGCATCCAGGTAAGAGTCGAATCGCTGCTCAATGTTGTCGACAATGGGGCGCCAGGACTCATCGTTGTTGACGAAGTCACCGAAACCAGGAGTGTCGACAACAGTGAGGCGGAGACGGACACCAGCCTCCTCAATGTCGGCGCTGATGGACTGGATGGTAACGGTCTTGGGAATAATGTCGAGGCTAGGGCCCTTGCGCTCCTTGGGGGGGTAGAGAGAGGTGTTGAAGAGAGTGTTGACTAGTGTAGACTTGCCAAGGCCAGATTCACCTGTACCGTTGTTAGTTGGGGTCTGCTATGTTTATTGGCTTCTATACATACCAACAACCATGACGTTGAAGTTGAAACCCTTGCGCACACTCTTTCGGTGCCATTGGTTGGGCAGGTTGGCAAAGCCGACATAACCCGTGAGCTTTCTTCGGACAATGTTCCTGTTGTCAGCAGCGGGAGGTGGCTGAGAAGGAACTACTCGAAAGATTAGCAAGTGATCTATAGTCGATCTTGAGTCGAGAATAACTTACCGTTGGCGGGCGAAGCCGAAGGAGGCAGCGCGGGGGACTCGGCGCCTGGAGAATCTATTGAGAGACATGTTAGTAAATTTACATTAACCGAAAGCTAGAGATGACATGATGCGCAGGTAGGTGTTTGAGGAAGATCCTGACTCCATAGCAATCGTAAGCTGGTTCCATCACTAGAACTCTCGGACGGAATTCTGCTGTTGGGGCCCGGTCCACGGTGCTCCTCAGGCTGATATGGAACCCATTCATCGCGTTGAGGGTTGCTATGTTGCTCGTCTGCAGTCGGGATATCCACATCGAGCATGCTGCACATACGGCGTACAGTCGTTGTCTGAGAAGCAGGCAGTGGGAGCCCATAAGGAGAAATCTGGTTCAATGGGAGACTGCAGGCTCTCATGTGATTCTCTGAGGATCGGTGCGCCAATGTGGGAATAGGTGGAGGGTCCAGGAATAGTAAGCTGTTCTTTCTGGAATGCCTAGCTCTTCTTGGAGTTCTGTCTAGAACCCTAGCTGGGTCGTATGGTGTTTTCGAATCCTGACGGTAGAACGACATTTTCGAGCGTCGGGGGCGGATGAAGTGTTGATTCCCAACCAGGAATGCTGTCGGGACCAAAAAGGGGCTAAGAGCAGAACCGATAGACTGGATATTTGGGGACAAACGCCGTCGAGCTTATCGTGAGTCGATGAATCTTGCAATGAGTGTTGCCGTTGTAGAGGCATCCGCACTCCAAGCCTCAAGCAAGTGCGGTCGTCCTTGTGGTCGACATCGGAGGCTCCTTCCCCATCCTCTACCTGGCGCATGTGCCATGTGGAAAGACACGCGCGTGCATAAAAAGAAAGAATAGTCTTACCCATATTGAAGTATCAAGAACGGTCGAGGTGGAAGGACTTGTAAGAAAGTACGAGTTCTAAACCAAAGCTTGCAGGTTAGCTACGTCAGGGAAAAGGCCAGCTAGCTACATGAGCTTGGTGGAGTGTTTCCAAAGGAAACAACGACAAGAGCGCCCGCCTCGACACTGGATCTCCAGGCTACAACGGCAGTTTGGATGGAAGTATCGTCAGGTCGGTCGAGGGCGCTCTTTTTCGAAGTCGTCGTCGGGAGGGTTCAGGAGTGGAACGAGGATAGCAACTCACGGAAATACCAGGAGACGCGTGTCAATGAGCGTCTTAACGAGAGTAGACGAAGATTAAGAAGAAGGAGGCCTCGGTTTTATCAACACAGGACCTACTCTCACGCACGATAAAAGGCGATCGAGATAGAAAAAGTAGCAATGATGATGCTAGAAACGGGGGGTTAGGGAAAAAAAGAGAGAAGGTGAAGTCAAGGAGAAGGATGGGAAATTTTGGAGGCGATAGGCGGACCAAACAAGGAGACGAAATTCTGATGTGCTGTGCTGTTCTCCCAGCAGAGCAGCCCAAAGGCAGAGAACCGTGCTTCAGCAAAAGGGGTTTAGATGAGCTAGCTCTAAATTGGGTTAGTGTGGGTCCCTCAACTTACATGATCCAGGGGCATATTCTGGAGAGTTAGCGAGCAGGGTCGCTGAAGGGCTGCTGTCGAGCCTCGAAGGGTGCTCCAGCGAGTGATATGATTGGCTTTTAGAATCCGGGTCCAATTAACGGCGCGGGACAGGGGTTGGTCAATGGTAGGATGGGAGATTGGGGAGGGAGTGCTCTAGCTTCACCTCACGCAAATTAACAGTAAGGTTCTCTATCTTGGCTTGGCCTCCTGTCGGCATGTGCATGCTCAATTGCCATACAGGTTGCTTTTTTGGAAGTAGAGCTTTGCTTCTGTACAAGTTCAGCTTCATGTTTGTCATTACAGAGTACCTGACTTTGCTTGAGCTCTGTCTCCAAATTTCTAATTGTGGCTGGAGCTCCTCCTTACTTAACGTTAGATCCATTCATTCCCCGAGCTTGGAGCTCACCTGAGGTTGTTTCTAAAAGGGGAATGCTACTTTAATCATGTACATCCAACCTAGCTCGCCCTCGTGGTCATGGAAAACTTGACTCGATCAGCATTAAGAGACGAAATAATTCAGTCACCTCAGGCGACTTCAGACATGCTCTCAGGCCATCTATTTTCGTCCCTAAGCTCGGGCTCTCAAATCTTTTGATCCCCCTAGCTCGCTTGTGCTTCAAGTATCGAATCAACGATCTTTTATGTGCTGCATATCAACATCGATAGGGGCACTGACTCCTATTATTACTCTCTGCATCATGATCTCTATGCATGAACCGTTCCCTATTCATGCTGCACTCCTATTTTTGTTCAAATATTCCAAGACATTCGTAATGAGACGTTACTAGACATAAGACAAATACTAAGACATAGGTCGATCAACGTTGTTTTGAAGGGCTGGGGGTTCTAATTCCCCCCTCCCACTCGTAACCAAATCTTCAATACTCAATCATACAAAGGAGTTATCGTTGTCTATCGTTAAGCTATTTACCAGGGCTCCAGGAGGTGATTGATCATTAAACACTGGACTATTGTCCACTCGCCGTCCAGTCCGGTCACGCCTCTGCCGCTCCCACGTCTGTGCTAGAGCAGTCCCTCGTTTAGTTTCCCTTCCCCGTCTCGGTCTCCGTTAAAACACCAAACATTGCCAACCTGCAATCCGTCCGAGTTGTTTCCTTTGTGGGTCTGGGCTTTCACCCATGCACTCTACCGCCCGGCTGGCCCATTCACATCACTCAGTCATGAGCCAACCTCGTCTCACTTACAGTGCTTGTCATATCAAGTTGTTTCCGAAGTCATTACAGGGTCCATCAAAAAGTAACGTCAGTTATTGAGGCACATGGCTGTAGTGTGATGTTGGAGAGGACTCAGATCGAAAACCATTGTATTCTACTGGGATCAACCATTGATGCCGAGTACTATGTTAAGAAAACTCGTACTCAGCAGCCCTAACTTTGGCATGGCTATTGGACATGAAAAGGTTACGTTGCGAGACTGGTTTGTACGTGGACAGGTCAACCCTGAACCAATAGGCCGGTTTATGTCAATCTGCCAACCATCCTCCATCCCGTGTCATAACAGTATACGGGTTTACATGCAGCCGTTGCATCCTTCACACGGCAATAACATCGTGCTGTATCTAACGCAATCCCGCCCATCTCCTGTTACCTACACTGCCGTGTACCACCAACCTCGCGCGGTTCGTGTTTTGCATAGAGAAGGCTGATAGCAAGGGAGGCTCATGGCCTGTAATTGCATTCCAGGCCAACGCAAGGGTCTTTCTGATGTTCAAGCCAGCATAGCAGTGTTACTTACCGTCTGATCTATTTTACTAGGCTTTATCTGAAGCCAATAATGGCCAGCTGACCTAGCAAATTCTTAAGAGGTTATTGTTCCTCCCATCATGGAGCACTACAATGAGCCGCTTCGCCAATCCTCTAGGGTAGATTTGTCCTCACACAACCTGAGCATCTTCATGCCGACCAGAAGATTGTCGTTGGCAATGGCAGAGTGTAGTGTGCAAGTATGGGTCGGTAGATGTATTTTAATCCGAATTCTTCTTGTTCTGTTAAGTGGTCGTGTAAGTCATCGTTGCCGTCAATCGAGGAGGCTTCATGGGTTATGCTTCAAGGCAGAGAATTCTAGTTTAAGCCATGTCCACAATAGCCAGCTTCTTTCTTCACCACGCACCAAGAAATTCCAGTTCTTAACGGATAGCGAATAGAGGGTCAATTGTAGGGAACAAGATTCCTTTGCTGAGTTGAATCTAGTATCTATGTCACACTGTATGCTAATACTGAGCCAGCCCCGATGTCAATCCTTTTCATTACATGCCACATTCCCGTCTAATAAAGGTATAGTACAATGCCGTTATACTGTCCGGACGCATCAACCAAAATCTTCGTACAGCACGATTCCCTTAAGCTAGACCAGCCTGCTGGCTAGCAAAGAATCGCTTTGACTCAGCACATCGTTCACTCTTGCAACCGGGGCATCGGAGACCCATCTGCTTTGAGCAAGCCTTGTTCTCAGCAAGATGCTTCTTGGCAATGTCGGCAAGAGCCTCGATGAACACAGGGCTGCCATTGAGAGACTCAACTCGCTTGACTGTTTCGGGGCTGCCGCTGTCGGCAATAACCTCTTGGTCCAACTCGTATAGGGTCTCAATGTGGTCGGAAGTGAAAGCAATAGGGATCAACACAAGGTCCTTATGGCCCTTGGCGACGTAGTGCTCTACACTGTCTGAGGTTTGAGGTCCCAGCCAAGCAGATGGTCCAACCTGAGACTGCCAACACAGTCGGTAAGGGTTGGAGAAGCCAAGTCTTTGCATAACAGCATAGACAGTCGCCGCAACCTCAGCAGGATAAGGATCACCTATAATTTGTTAACATGCATTATATAGACCATACCATGGATAAACAAACCTCTGTTGACAACAGACATGGGCAGACTGTGAGCGGAGAAGAGCAGGACAACATCCTTTCTTCGCTCCTCAGGGTACTCCAGAAGCTTGGCCTCAATGTTCTGAGCAAACGCCTCGACCAAGCCGCTGTGGTTAGGCCAGCGGTCAATAACACTCCATGTGATAGTACCGTCACCAGGCTCCTTGTTGGTCTTGCCCTCAAGTCTGTGCCTCCACTTCCAAAGCTCGTTGATGCTGCTGCCCGTTGTTGAGCAAGAGTACTGGGGGTATTGTGTGAATGCGACAGCGCGACCACCCTTGCCGTTGCCGAATCCATCCTTCAGCAACTGCTCGTACATCTCCTCGGTCAATGGGTTCGCATATCGGAAAGCGACGTATGGCTTGTGGGGCGCAGTTTCGGGCGAGATCTTGTCCAAGATCTTGCACATCTCGGCGTTTTGGTATTCGGACCATTTTCGAATTGGAGAACCACCGCCAATGGCAGAGTATTGCTTGATAATCTTGGGTGTTCGTCGCTTGGAGATTAGAGGACCCAGGTAGTTTTGTAGAGGGCCGAGAGGGATCAGATCGCCATCAGCCTGAGACAGGTGTCAGTATAAGAGTCTCGATTGGCTGATACAACTTACAAACAGACGACTCAAAAAGTCGCCAACCTCGTCGGTAGTTGAAGGTCCTCCCATATTAAGGAAGACCATAGCAGTAGGGCCCTTAGATCCGGTCGCATCTTGGGTGACAGGATGAACGGGAGTGGCCAAATACCGCCTTTGGGAAGTAATCTGTGGTAGCGCAAGACGATGCGAACTGGCCTGTGAGATGCTCTTACAGAGCTGGCCTCCAGATCTTCTCAAAGCCATTGTGAATAGATTATTACTGAGTCCGAGAATTAAGGTGTGGGAGGAAAGTGATGACCAATTCTTCAATTGGGAGTGGTGCAGAAGTCTGAAATCATGAAACACCTGAGGATGTAAAGAAATCTTATGTTACCTACTAAAGCGGGCGGCGATGATGCACGCATCTCCATGGACTCCGGGATCGCCTACAGCGCATCATATCGAAATTTCTACGGGCCTTCGCTGCTAAAAGTGACATCCGGATCCCGCGGAAACCCCGCGGTGAGCAATGTACCATCGAACAGAGTGTCATTGACCAATTGCCGAGTTGGTAATCAATCGAAGAAAGATCACATGATCTCGCGCCAGGCAGCGCGTCGACCCTTGTCAGCTAGCTCGCGTTTGCCTAGAGCTATGGCCCGCTAGCATGCGATCAACCATCAGCTCTTAAAGGCAAGCTGGCCCGCGCAATGAGACTGATCAATCTTTTGTAAACAACGGAAAATCACATCAATCATGGCTGATAAGCAGGACTGGAGAAACCAAGAGGAAGACGAAGGAGATCAGGAGATTGATGAGAATGTGAGTTGGTGGAATCTTTAACATCCCATCTCAACTCCATATTGATCCACTCTTAGAGCTACAAGGCACAAAAGGATGCCATCTTGCTTGCGATAGACGTGAGCAAGTCTATGTTGGAGCCACCGCCACAATCGGACTCCAAAAAGGCAGATCGCGACAGTCCTGTGCAGGCAGCTTTAAAATGTGCCTACCATCTGATGGAGCAGCGCATCATCTCCAACCCCAAGGACATGATGGGCATCCTTCTCTTTGGCACTGAAAAGTCCAAGTTTCAAGACTCAGGTGATGGTCGAAGTGGTCTAGGATATCCACATTGCTACCTGTTCACCGATCTTGATGTTCCTGCGGCCGAGGATGTCAAGGCTCTCAAGGCCTTAGTTGAGGATGGTGAAGATGAAGACGAGGTCTTGACGCCTTCAGATGAACCTGTCAGCATGTCCAACGTGCTGTTCTGCGCGAACCAGATTTTCACGACCAAGGCGGCGAACTTCGGAAGTCGTCGTTTATTTATCGTGACTGACAATGATGACCCCCATGCTTCAGACAAACAAGCCAAGTCCGCTGCAGCTGTTCGTGCCAAGGATCTGTACGATCTGGGAATTATGATAGACCTATTTCCAATTACGCGAGGAGATGGATCCTTCGACCTCAACAAGTTTTACGATGTAAGTGCAATTCAATGGAATGCTACCAAGTTGACTAACAAAACAAGGATATAATATATCGCGACTCTATTGGAGAGGCGAACATGTCTGAAGTCCGAACATCAAAATCAGGAAACGGATTGACTTTGCTCAACTCTCTTGTCTCAAATATCAACTCAAAGCAGACGGCAAAGCGAGCACTATTCTCGAATTTACCATTTGAGATTGCGCCTGGACTTCGCATCTCTGTCAAGGGGTACAATATCGTGCATCGGCAGACTCCAGCCCGAACTTGCTACATCTGGTTGGATGGTGAGAAGCCGCAGATTGCCGCAGGCGAAACTACACGCATTGCGGAAGACAGCGCCAGGACAGTTGAAAAGGGGGAGATGAAGAAGGCCTACAAGTTTGGTGGTGAATACGTCTACTTTACCCCTGAAGAACAAAAGTCGATGAAAGACTTTGGGTCTCCCCTCATTCGCATTATTGGCTTCAAGCCTCGAAGCTCGCTACCTATCTGGGCAAGTGTCAAGAAGTCTACATTCATTTTCCCGAGCGAAGAGGACTATGTTGGCTCAACTCGAGTCTTTACAGCACTCTGGCAGAAGCTGCTCAAGGATGACAAGATGGGTATTGCTTGGTGCATCACTCGTGCCAATGCTCAACCGATGCTGGCTGCCATTATACCGTCCAGAGAGCGGTCTGATGACGATTCAGGCACCCCTTACTTGCCTGCTGGTCTTTGGATCTATCCTCTTCCGTTCCAGGACGATTTACGAAACATCAACCCGCCAAATGAGGTATTGCGTAGCTCTGACGAGCTTACAACACAAATGCGAACTATCGTTCAGCAACTCCAGCTACCCAAGGCCATGTACAACCCATCCAAATACCCCAACCCAGCTCTGCAGTGGCATTACAAAATCCTTCAGGCCCTGGCGCTGGAGGAAGAAGTGCCCGAAAAGGCAGAAGACGCAACAGAACCCAAGTACAAGGCTATCAGCAAACGTGCAGGTGGTTATCTGGAGGAATGGTCAGAGGGTCTAGCAGACGAAGCGGGCAAAGCTGCGAACAGTAAGGCGACGAAGCGTGAAACAGACGATGAAGACGCAGACAGACCAGTGAAGAAGCCCAGAGGATCTTCAGATAAGCCATCAGGCTCATCGTTCAGCATGGAGCAGCTAAGAGCGGCAATTGATGGCGGTAGCATTACGAAAATGACCGTGGTTCAGCTCAAGGACTTGCTTGCTACCAAGGGAATAAGTACGGCAGGAAAGAAGATGGACCTGATCGAGAGGGTCGAACAATGGGTAGACGAAAACTCTTGAGAGTGAGGAACAATCTGCCTATGCTGACAGTTAAGTTTATTGGCGTTTGAGTGTTGATAGTTAGAGCAAAGCCGCAAGTCAATGAATACCAGATTCCATGTGTTAAACGTATTTAATTATAGCATTGTTCTCGCCTCCGATGTGACAGTGAATAGCTGACATTCGCATTCACAACCTAGGTGTCTTTTAAGATCGAACCGCTTGATTTTTTGATTTCATCGCTTCACATCAAAGTTTTCACGACTTCATCATAGCATATCATTACATCCTTCCACCGACTTCAGATCTTTGTTCGAGACTTTAAACTTCTGTTGAAGCATCTTTACATGAAGTATATATCAAAATGGGTGTGACAAAAGACCCATCAGCTGCTATGCACACGCCACCTTCAGCGTCTGCTAGCGGCCAGGGAAGGAACCTTCAGTGGGCTACACCCCTGTCCCAGCTGCCCCATGCACAGCTAAAGCTAAACGGCACCCCTACCTCATCCATCAAATCAGTGGCTCTTTCATCATCAGTACCCGCCCTCGCGGTCGCGAGCCCGCAAACACCAGGTACTGGCAGACATCGTCAGAATCTCCCGACGCCATTACTATCACCAGCGCATGCGAACCCATCGCCTCAGAAGGCGCCTGGCGCAGACGAGTACATTTCTCGGCTGTTGCGTCTGGCGCGTGATCCTCCGAATCGTGCGCAGCGCGCAAACTCTAGCTCCGCCATGGCCGATTTTCTCGCGAGCTTGGGGTTTGGAGGCGCGCAGTCGCCAGCCGCGTCGAATAATCCGCAATGCGATTCGGTCGAACAGCTTCAGCATAAGTTGCAAGGTATTCTGGACGCCAAGGCGACACTGACACGAGCCGAACATGTTGCGATTACCATCGAATTGAGAGCTACGGTCCGATTTCAGTTGCCTGTGTCAGAGTCGGAAAATGGAAATCAAGAGAACCTGAACAGTCTTGATCAGTTGCAATCAGCAGGTGCGGACGGTCAACAGGATGCGGGGCAACTATCTCGTGTTGTTTTTGCCAACGATACGCTCATGAACCAACCTCAGGATGATCCGTCACTTCAAAGATCAGTCGCCAAACATATTATTTCAACAATCAGCTCGACAGATGGAAGTACTTGGACAGTTCGAGAAGTTTCTAGAGGAACGCAAGGGTGGACATTTACGTATCTGTGCAAGGATTCGTTCCAGTGTTGGAACCGACAACACGCGAAGAACCCAGTACAGACAATTGTAGGTGAGTTCAGCCAGAGAGAGCCAGACCCAGTTCTGCACGCCCGACCTGCTTTCGACTGCCGAGGATCCATCGTCATTGCCTTCGACCGCAGCAGTCGTGCTATCACGATCAAATACGATCATACTCCTCTGCATAAAACAGTAGCCGAACTTGCCGCACACTTCAAACCGCCGCCTCGCCAGCTAGGACCGGGTGCACAGAAAATCCAGGAACAGCAGCAAAAGGCCAAAGAAAAGACGCCTAAGAAGCCCAGAGGCGAGAAGAAGGACAAGAAAGAGCGAAAGAAGCGAGAGTCAACGACCAAGGCGCAGGACGAAAATGGAAACCCCCGCAAACGAAAGAGGAAGAGCAATGCCGCTCAGCCTGCCAAAGCAACTGATGGACCCATGATTCCTCCAGACTATCCTGGAGCGCCAGCAGTTAATGGCCAAGCAGATATGCCGTATATGAACGGCGTACAAGCGCTGGCCGATGCTGCACAGCAAGGCTTCAACGACTACCCTCAGGGGCTGATGGGGGATGGGTCAGGAGCTACAAATGGAACTGTATCTCAACAATCGGGCGGTCAGCCTGGCTCAGTAACATTCCCGGTCAATGTCTCAGCAGCTGAGGCAAACCGCCGAAAAGAGGCAGCGACATCAATGCTTTCCAATGCCGGGGTCGACCCCACGACTTTGTCGCCCGAACAGTTCGGGATATTCTCTAACCAAGCACCGGAATTGCAGCGAGAGTCGTTGAGTATGTTGGTCAAGTACGGCGCAGAACGTCTCCGAATTGTCCATCCCAGTAACAGGGAGGGCTCAGCCCAGGCAAGCGCTTCTACTGCACAGAGCACCCCAAGTTCGAATGGGCCCAGGACCACCAAAGAACTCGTGCCGCAGCCTAGCGCTCAGAGCAATGTTAACACAGATACTGAGGCACAAACTGCGTCTCAGACCGCAGACGAGGCCTCAACACCCAAGCGCAAGGCAAGGACGTTGGGCAAGTCGAGAACAGCTTGCTTCCCCTGCAAAGCACGCAAGACTAAGGTACGTCTGTCGAGTTCACACATTGACTGTTATGGAGCTAACATGAAAAAGTGTCCGAAAGAGAGACCTACTTGCGCTGAATGCGCAAACCATGGGACTGCATGTGAATATGCACCCCAGAAGTCACGAAACAGAGGGAAGACGCCCAAGAAGTCAGAGGCGATTGTTGTTGACGACGATGAGGAAGAAGAGGAGGACGAGGAGGAAGAGCAAGTAGAGGAAGAGGAACAGGAAGATGCTGAAGACGCCGAGGACGCTGAGCATGCCGAAGAAGAAGGCGATCAGGATGACGATCAGCAGACCAATTCCCAAGATTACTCGTACCCACAGATGAACATTGGAAACATGGTCACTAACACCGACACGACACCCCAAAATACCCATGCCACACAAAACTACTATCAGGCTGACCCCTATTCCACCACCTCACAACCATTAAGCACGGCACCATCGCAGAGAAATAACTATTCTCATGCGTTGCCTGAAGTAATGCAACCAGTACACCACCCTCCACCCCCAATCCCAGCCCCAGCTGGAACTATAGCTCCGTCTGAGACAAGACGCTGGACGGCGTTTGGTAGCGGAGGTCTGAGTAGCGCAAGCGGTAGCAGTAAAGCGAGACGAAGTCTTCCATCCGAGCCTCAGCACTCTAACGGGCAGAGTGTACCTACCGCAAACCCGCAGCCATCAGACTGGGCACAAAGTACTAACACTACGATGCCTGCCATGCCGGCCACAACAATGGCATCCGTCTCACCGCAAATGTCATATGACAATCGATCTGGCCACGGAGGCCGACAGAAGAACCAGAGTCTTTCGAATGATTCGGTTCAACAAGCAGCAGCAATGGCCAGTACAGTTATGCAGCAGCAGGCTCAAGCTCAGACACGTCAGTCACCAGTGGCTGCAGCTGCCATGCAAACTTCACGAACCAACACCCACTATGACACATCACACATGCCCAGCAGTTCCGGCTTATATGATCATGGGCGATATGGCGGTTCCAATGCTGTCGCAAGTCAACAACAAGCTATGTCAGTAGCTCAGGCAACGCCAAACACTATGAGTACGTCTTATCAGACCACACCTGCAACGACTGCGAACCAGTGGTCTGGTTCATCAAGTCGAAATGATCGTTCATACGGAACTAACTCGTCGTACCAAGCACCAAACATGTACACCCAGTCACCAGCTGCCAAAGCAGCACCAGCTTCGCGCCAGAGCTTTAACATGCGTTCAAGTGCGCAGCAACAGCAGCATACTCGTGGCAGCAGTGGCTCTTACAGTCAGCAACAGCCACAACAGCAAGCCAATTATTCATCTTACTCTGGATCTACACATCAGAACCAACCGAGTCAGACATCCAACCAGCAGCAACAGCCACCAAGCTGGTACTTCCAGAACTCACACAACAACTCCATACATTCAGGGAGTCAAGCATCTGGCTACAATTATGAGCCGTGGTCAGGCGTTTAAAAGGGGAAATTTTTTAATCGTATAATTGCTTCTCTATCTAGAGCTTTGCTATGAAAAAGGCTTAAAATTGCTTTCGGTGGGTTTGCCGAACTATGATTATTTAGCGGAGGGACGACTGCCTGGATGGCATTCGATTGCATTTCGAGTTCATGCACTCGTGTCTAGAGATACCCATGCATATCAGACAGCTGAGCATTGCAGATAGTAGAACTTTTTGTTGCAGTTAAGACTTCATGATAGCATCTAATGAAAGCGAATTGCAAAAACCAACTTTATTATTCTCAGCTTTGAAGTGAATTAAGTGAATGCCCTACTCGATATCCCATGGTATTTCCATCATATTAATTTTTCCGATATCGTTATACAATCCGTAGTTCCAGTAAGTCATATCCAAGAAGGGGGTATTGTATGAATCAAAGACATTGTGCATCGTCTACTCAACGTGGTCTGAGATAGCAAACTTGCTGAGAGATCGTAGCTTGGCACCGTTAAAGTACAGCAGCCAGATACCAATGATTCCAATAACACTCAAGCCACCAAGCAGACTTGTGCCCTTGGCAACACCAAGGTTATCAAACAGAGGCTGCGCAAAGAGCACACTACCGCAAGCAAGAGCACTTCGGAAGAAGTCGTTCGCAGCAAAGAGACTAGCAGCGTACATGGGATAGCTGAGAGGGATGTAGACGAAGATACACTGCATGACAACAAAGACAGTGGCACCGTAGATGGTGATACCGATGGTTGGCACGATCCAGTGGATAGAACTTCGGGCTGTCCAGGCGAAGAGGAACAAGCCGATGGTGGGACCAAGAGAGGCTGGGAGAGCTGGGACGAGACGGCTTTCTTGGACGGGCCAGCCGCGCTTGGCGATGCGAGGGTCCATGTAGTAGTAGAGGTAGGCGAGGTAGACTCCTACACCAATCATACATGAGACGAGGACGCAGAGGAAGACGAGGCCGATCTCGCCGAGGTTCATGCCATAGTAGACGGGGTAGACACGAGGGAACACTTCGAAGACTGGAGAAGGGTTAGTCAACTGACACTGTCGTAGTGAGATAGAATAGACTTACAGGAGTAGTAGATTCCGTAGATGATGGCAGTGTAGATCTGGACGAAAAGCACAGCTGGATCCTTGATGGTAATCTCCATAGGCTTGATGAGGGCATCAATAGCAATGGCCGAAACCTTCATGTGACGCTGATCAATCTCACTCTGAGACATGAAGCGCTCGTTACCCGTGAGCTTTCTGAGACGTTCAGCACGGCGGAGGAGGATGTTTGCACCGCTTGTCTCAGGGAGGAGGAGAAACATGAGGATGAAGATAGGGGCTGAGGCCCAGATGCTTTCGTAAAGAGACCAGCGCCAGCCCTTGACTGGGACTGCGAAACCGCTGAGGAGAGGACCGAGAGCAGCTATGAAGAGTTAGTTTGTTATAGTGATTAAGGAGTCAGGGGAGACTTACGTCCACAGTAAGCAGCAGAGACCCAGGCCATCATGGCATAAGGAAGAGCCATGAGACTGTAGATATCACCAAGAGAAGCACCACCAGAAGCCAAACAAGGCGAACCAAAGAAACCCTGGAGGAATCGAAGGACCATGAGACCAGGGTAGTTCTTGACAAGAGCTGTAGGGATCGAGATGATGACGAAGAGGAACATGGTGACGATGTAGACAGGGTTACGACCAATTCGAGGAATCTCACTCAGGGGTGAGAACACGAGAGGTCCGATACCGTAACCCAGAACATAGAGCGATAGACCAAGTGTAGCTTTGAGTTGACTCACCCCAAAGGCGTGCATGATACCCTCTGTGGAAGAAGTATAGATAGCTGAGGAAGTGTACACGACAAAGGTGTAGAGACAGATGATGAGAGCTACGCCAAGACGTCTGTTGTTGGTCCAGTTGTGAGGATTCTCGTTGTCATCGCTGTAGTACCAGTCCACAAGGACATGTCCATCCTTGGTACGTTTAGGTACAACAGGAATAGACTTGACCTTTTCCACATCGTGTTCTTCATCAGCCTCGAGTCGATCGATGGTGTAAGCCTGCGTCTCCTGAGGCGATCTCGAACGATGTAGTCTAACGGGGACTGCATCAGCACGCTCGATATCCTCAGTCTCCTTTTCTGTCTCGCCCTTTGCCTTGGGATCTTCAGTAGCTGCGACAGTGGAAGAAGCTGAGGATGCGAGGGCCGTGCCTGTGAGGAGAGTGTTGTTGTTTGCACCAGAGGTCTCGTCGATGATGGCGTCTGGGTTGTTGAGAACAGCGTCCCAGGACTCGGGGAGCTTGAAACCGGGCTTTTCTTCGGGGTACTGAAGGTATTTGTTGCGGGTGACGAAGCGAATGAGCTGCCCCAGGGGAGCATCTCTGATGAGGTCTGCCATTATGAGGTGTGTATAGCCTTTTGTTAAGATAAGAGTATCAGGGAGTCTTGGATAGAGATAAGAAAGGAGACAAGGCTCTCTTTAAGCTTATTATCGTTAATTGAGTGAGTATGGTATTGTACGAATATCAGAGACATGCAATCCATCTTATATCCCAGCTCTCCCTTCAGAACACAGTAATACCGGTGGTCTACGGAGCTTAGAAAGCTCAAGCTCTTGCATTTCGGATTTAGTAATCTTGTGTATAGCAAAGCAACTTGCGTTAGCTTCAACGATGAGAGACCGTACATGCAAGCCACTTCGGGCTAATAGACCTTGACATTACCAATCGCCGCTGACAATACCCGTTCGGTACTCGGGCTTCTTCCTCCCCATAGGGTTTCCTTTTGCCCATATGCTAGCTATAACGTATTACTGTACTTGAATCCTAGATAAGCTAAAATACAGTAACTCCTTTCAATGGACCAGAGTCTGGACCTAGCCGGACTTTAGGGCTGACTTTGACCCAATGCAAGGGTTTTAGAGTTATGCCCGGCTCGTGTCTTTACTTGTCCAGGTGAATTATCCGACTGTAGATCCTAGAGAATTGCCGTGAGATGACCACCCACTGATTATCTGCACTGTACTGTCAGATTAACAATTCTTCTGTATGGCGTCATTCGAGATCCGGATGCACGGCTTGTTATGCTGAGTGTAGATGTAGATCTGTGAGCACTAACAGAGGGAATCATTGTATTCTATTCCGCTTACTACTTGAGAATTACTTTGTTTTGAGTTCTCTGTTGTTTCTCACATAAGCTGTACTACACTGCACTCTATGAGTCTGCCAACTCACTTCACCTTGAGTCTTAACGAGTAAAACCTCTGAAACATATCTTGATACCATCTCAAATGTATGCAAGTCTTGCCTTATCAGCACTAACACATAAAAACGGTTAGACCCTCCGCTCAGTTGAGATTCCACAAAAGCTTAGCAATCTCACCACAGTCTCGGGACGTGAATCATGCAGATCAACCAATTAGACGCCATCAGGCCCCTGGATTAATCACCCTCGGTGTGACGTCTCCCCGGTCGAAAGCTCCCTTGAGGCTTACGGTCTAGTTGAATGCCGAGTACCGGCGGGAGTTTTGACCTCCACGGAGGGAAAACTATAGCTACAATTTCTAAACATCCATATATACAATAGCATGGCCAGTTTCTATGACCCACTTGAAAAATCATTTTTCACATGAGTTCTTCCTCCATTTTCCATTCACATGTCCTAAGCAGTATATTCGTGATACCCCAATAATATGCATATTCTCATGCAGGACCCCTAATCATACAAGGTCTCAAGCGGCTCATACCCATTGAGTTCTGCTCCCCATGCTGATAAGAACATTGCTCAAGCTAGCTTCTCCAGGGCTCGGATACCCCGGAACCTTGCTTACTATAAGAATATAGGTCGAGCCACCACTTGAACTCAGGGCCTCGCATTCGCCCTGTAAAGGCAGAAGGGAGGTCTCGTTATTATGTCTGCCGCGTCACTGACTCATTCGTGTTCACGATAGTTGGTCTGCCAAGTGACGGGCGCAACAATATCGTGTATCTTTTTACACTAGCCAAAGGATCCAACCGTGAGGCTCACCATATGCTGACCTGATTTGAATGACTGAGACACCGCACGAAATGAGGACAAGTGGTTGAATATGGTGACATAGTAGTCCATTTTCGCGAGTTATCGTCTTAGTCACTCGAATCAGAAGCCTCACTCGTCCTAGACGAGAGAGCTATGTGCCATATCGTGCTGTCGTAGCTCTGACATCCATCGCTAGCCTCTCACCAAGCTCCTCGCTGCCCAGCACGCTTCTGGATACGTCGTTTCTGAAGCTCCTTGCGTATCATCAAAGCCGGACCATCAGCACCCTGGTCCAGTTCGTCCACGATATCCCACACTCTAGGATCCTCTGCATCCAGAGCCATCTTGACGAATGGCTCAACCCACTCAGAGAACCTCCATGATGTTGAGTCGGGCCTTCGTCCACTATGCGGTACTGCAGCCTTGGCGTAGCCAATAAGCTTAAAGGCTAGCTCGAGATCGCCTGCCTCTGCGCAGACCGGTATTATCACGTCGAGTGCGACCATTACATTCTGACGCTCTAACCATGCTGTAGGAGGTGCGGCTTGGATGCTGGTTTTCTCAGATGCAGAGTCGCTGGGTGCGATGGCCTGGGTTTCTGTTGCCAATTGGGACGGGATTTTGGTCTTGGAGAGCTCGACATAACACATCTTGGCAAGCTCGTACTTCGTCTCAGTTTTGACGCTATGTTGAACCAGGCGCCCGATATTACTGAATCTGGGGCTTCTGCCGCTAAGAGTGTAGGCGTTCCGGAAAAGTGGCATGGCAGCCTCTGATGTTCGAGTCTTAGCCATGGCCTCGGCTGTAACCATGACCACATCCAAGGGAACAAGGCTCTCCTTGTGCATAGTCTCAATAGCAGAGGCTGCAGTGTCAATAAGATCCTTGTTTTTGAGAAGAGCTCGGTAGAGAGGCCGTGTGGTTGCTTCATCCTCAAGCCACCCAGCGGTTTGCAACAACTTTAATGTGGTGAACGCACCCTCCACGTCCTCTGCATTGGCATAGGTTTCGATAATAGCATCATGGTGGTGTTGAGAGAGCTTTCCACGGCTTGATAGTATCGCTAGAGCTTGAGTAGCCAGTTGAGTATCGCCATGTCTCGCGGCAGTGGCCAGAATATTTTCGAGGGTACCATTAGAAGGGTTATGGATTTCGGTTTTTACGACCTCATCCCAAAGAAATTTTGTTCCTTCGTGATGGAAGGACTGGCTGAAAATATCCAGAGCAATCAGCTCAATATTTCTGAAGGGGGCGTCCGTGCCTTTAGCATGTTTTCTCTTCTTTAGCAGACGAAGCACCTCGTCTGTGAAGCCCATCCTGCCAAATTCCAGAATAAAAATGTCGTAGACCCAGAGATCAACTTGTTTTGGGCCTTCCAACAGCTCAGTAAGCTTATCCATGGCCAGTTCATGTTGGCCCTCCCGAAGCATTGCCAGCGCAATATTCTGTTTGGCGGATTGAGTAAATTCGAACCAGTAGTCGTCCATCATCTTCATAACCTGTTCTCGTAGCAAATGTTCGGGATGCACCGTAAGAGCTTCGAGGGCGAGATAGCACATCTCGGCAGTCAGCGGAACGTTCTGTTCGCGCGCATCGGCTAATAACTTGCGGACTCCCTGGCTCGATCCCTCTGGATGGGCCATAGCAGATAACATGCTTTCGTAAATTAAGTTATTGAGGGGATGTTGTCGATATTTTATCAGATATTTGATGATATGGCTCGTTCTCTGTAACTTGTTCTTTACAAACGGAGTGTGTTCACTTGCTGGCGATGCCCGCAATCTCATGAGAGCATCAACCAGTTCCTGCGTTGACACATGTTTCAAATCTGGCATTATTGCTTCAAGAGCAGGATTTGAAGGCTTCCGCGTAGCATTTTTGTTCGCATGCAAGTCGTGCAATTCTCCTCCTTGCGTCATCCCTTCATCTCCCAGCTTGCCCTCAAACTGCTCATATAAAGCATCCAAGGCTTGCGCCTGATCTCCAGGTAATGAGTCTTCAGCATTGCTGGTTCCAAATCTCCGCCATTGGATAAGATTCGTATTTCGAGGTCTTTGTTGGTTTAAGTTTTGCCCTGGTAATGAAGCATTAAAGGCTCTAGGCAAGACACACTTGTGACTCGCCGTCCAGAGGCACCGCCTGAGCGCATTATGTGCCAATTGCAGGCGGGGCATATTAGTTCTTGGTGTTGATATAAAATATCGAGGTCGTAGTATCACATTCAATTAATTGTGTCGCTGCCATGAGCGGAAGCCCTTCCGTATTTCCGCCCACCATCCAGCGGGGCTATGCAACTCCCGGGGCCTTAGCCGCCTGCAAACGCGCTCACCTTGGGTTCACCGAACAGCCGCGCTCCACTGAGCTCTGCCTGTTCCATTCTCAACCTTTAGTTTCCAGCGAGCGCATCATACACCACATATAGCTATAGCTACCGGCGCAACAACAGACAATATGGTAAGTTATAATATTATTCTTGGACATAGCTCAAAAGCGATTTAGAGCTTGGCGCAAGACTTGGTTTGCCCGCAACAAAAGCTAACATGGGATAGCTGCCCCTCGGTTTACTTAACGCGGCCCAAGGCCACCCCATGCTGGTCGAGCTCAAGAACGGAGAGACTCTCAACGGACACTTGGTTTCTTGCGATACATGGATGAACCTCACACTCAAGGAGGTTGTACAGACAAGTCCGGTATGCGCTACACCGATTACTTGGTGGGGGAAATGCTAATGGTTGGGCTACAGGAGGGCGACAGATTCGTGCGTTTACCAGAGGTCTATGTGAAGGGAAACAACGTACGTTCGACAATCCACACGGCCGAATTCAAGGGGAGGGACTAACAAGCTATAGATCAAATATCTGAGAGTGCCCGACGAAATCATCGACCAGGTCAGCGAATCGCAGAAGGGTCAACAGGGTGGATTCCGAGGCGGACGAGGAGGTTCAAGAGGAGATCACAGTGGACGAGGCGGTGACCGTGGACGTGGTCGTGGAGGACGCGGCCGCGGCCGAGGACGAGGTCAATAAGCTTATTACGAAAATTTACGACGATACCTTGCGCATCTGAAGACATTTCGCCATAGATCCCAAGCACCTCACACCTCGCACCAAGACACCAGGGAGTTTATGGTATTTTAAAACGAGGAGGAAGTCTGGTTTGGGCATCACAAACATGTTCTAGTCACCAGCTTCCGGGTTGCTATGAACGGGCTGCGGCGGTTCGGAATGAACTCAAGATAAACTGGGAATGAGCAGCAATCCCATCAATAAATAATGCCGCATGACGATCCATTATTGAATTACTTATGAGGAGATATGTGCCTTGTGCTATCTTTTGGCTGGTGCCTTGATTCGAGTCCAATATAACCTAGGTATAGTACAGAATTTACTCGAGAATTAAATGGGTGACTCACTGACTCTTCAAATTGTACATAGACAATATTTAAACATTCAATCCTTTCCGAGTTGTATTGCATTCCTGGATAACTGTCAGTCGATATAATAGTAACAATTCTATCCTGCATCACATAATTTTCACTGGTGGCCTTGTTCAGAGTAAATAAATTTAACGGAATTGTCTATTTTATGCGTAAAACATTTCTCGATGTGTTCACATCAAGTTCTATCAGCAACATAAGCCCAGTGCTATCGACTAAGGCCGCCGGCATATATCATCAAAAGCGCAAACATCATATAGAAACACATCCTCATCAAACGCCCATTACCAGTTCCAAAGCAAACATGTACAAGTCCCTCCTCCTTCTTATCTTATCATATGCACTTAAAAGTTGGCGACAGCAACGGCGATAGCCTGGCTATCAGAGTGTGAGATGGACAGAGTAATGTCCTTAACACCGGCCTTCTGAGCGGCAGCAGCAGCCTCTCCATGGAGCTGGAAATTTGTTAGCGTCAATTCTTCTTTTTTCATGATTGGCAGTTGACTTACAGAAACAGTAGGAGCACCGTTCTCTCCCTTGACAATCTCAATGTCCTTCATGGCGGCACCAGCACCTTGGCTGGCAACTCCCAATGACTTGAAGACAGCCTCCTTAGCACTCCAGCGACCGGCGAAAGAGCTCTGGGGGCTAGGAGCCTGGCGACAGTAGGAGATCTCGTTATCAGTGAAGTTTCGCTCGACGAAAGTGTCGTTGTCAATGTTGAGGGCAGAAATGTCCTCAACATCGACACCGACCTGGCTGTTCTTGTTGGTGACCTTGAGAGCCAGTGCCTCCATGACCTGCTGAGTCTCCTTGGCCTTGGTGGAAGAAACAACCTTCTCGGATCGCTTCATGAAATCAGGGCCATACTTGAGCTCAGATGACTTCTTGTCCTCAACGACACGAGCGTCAGGGTTCAGGAGAACCTTGCTGAGCTGGTCATCAGCGTAAGGAGAGTTGTTCTTGGCAACGAACAGCTTGTTGTTGATGAAGCCATCGTGGAAGTAGCGGTAGGCCTTCTTCTGACGAGCGTCGACCTTGGCGCAGTACTCAGTGTAGGTCTTCTCATCGAGAGTAGCGAACAGGTACTTGGGGTGGATACCAATGGCCTGAGCACCCTTCTGACCGAAACCGAAAGAGGTAACGGAGAAGGCCTTGACACCGTCGGTCTGGATGCTTCGGCTGGGGTAGACGATGAGGTCGTACTGCTCCATGATGGGGTCAACGTTGTCAGCGTTGCGGTTACCGGGAACGAGACCAGTGTCGAGGACCTGGAGACATCCGTTCATCATCCAAGCACCAGCAGCACCCTTGGGGTGACCAGTGAGGTACTTCTGGAAGATACCCAAGACGGCGTTACCCTTCTTACGGCCGAGATGGCGGAGCTGCTGGCAGATAACGTTGGACTCGTTCTTGTCGTTGGCCTTGGTGGAGGTTCCGTGGAAAGAAGCGACACCAATATCGTCAACAGTAAGACCCCAAGTAGCGAGGGCACCACGGAGAGGAGCGATGCTAGGATCACTCTTCCAGAAGTTGTTACCCATGCTGCGGAGGAGCTCCTTCTCCTGGCGAGCGGCCTCCTTCTCAATGTGAGCGAAGCGGTCCTGGGCGTACTCCTTCTCGTCGAAAGTGGCACCCTGAGCCTTCATGGCGTCAATCTCGTCGTGAACGTACTCCAGCTCAGACTCCTGCCACTGCTTGATGGTCTTCTTGCGGCGCTCGATCTGGCGGCGACGGTAGTTGATATCAAGGAGAGGCGAAGGGAACTTGCCAGGGTTCTCACGGGCAGTGGTGAGAACACCCTGACCAGGAGCAGGAACGGAACGACCAATCTTGTCAGAGGCGGTGGTGGTAAGAGCAATGATACCGTGAATGGGGACACCCATGTCAAGAGCAAGCTTGGCAGTCATGATGACCTGGATACCACAACCCTGGGACTCCATGAATCCGTTACGGGTGGTGGTAGTAGGACGAGACATCTCCTTGGGAGTACGGCCGTGGGCGAACTCGTCAACAGTGTTGCTAGTGGCCTTCATGTTGGCGAACTCGTAAGAACCTTCCTCACCAAGATCATCGAAACCACCGACGAAGCAGACGCGAGCCTTGCCCTCCATGATGGTCTCGTAACCAGTGTCGATAGACTCAACAGCGGTAGCACAAGCACCGACGGGAGTCTTGATAGGTCCGGAAGAGGACATCAACAACATGTTAACCCAAGCAGCCATGGTGTTGATGAAAGACTCCTGGAGAATGTCGTTCTGCACAGGCTGGTCGAGGAAACGAGTGCGGTGCATGTCTCGGAGAGCAGCAGCACCACCCATACCGGAACCAACACAGTTACCAACCTCAGAGACGTGGACATACTTGTAGAACTCATAAGGATCAGTGATACCACAAGACAGGAGAGCCTCAGCAGTGGAAACGAGGAGGAACAGGGTGACGGGGTCGACCTGAGAGACAATGTCATCAGGAACACCATATCGCTTGGGGTCCCAACCAGTAGGGATCTGTCCAGCAACGAGGCGGTCGAAGCGAAGAGCCTTGGGAATCCAGAGAGAGGCACCCTTCCTGAGACGAATAATGTACTCGCCACTGTCGGGGATCTCGAAGACCTCAACCTTGTCACCGTGCTCACGCTTGAACTCCTCAGCGGTCTCCTTAGAGGCCTCGAAGGGCTCAAGGTCCTCCTCGATGACAACCTCGTGAAGCAGCTGCTTCTTGTTGGGGTCATAGCCATCGAACAGCTCGGGCTCGATCAGACGGATACCAGAGTGCTCGAGAACGTACTTCTCGTACTTCTGCTTAACGTCCTTGTCGTCAACAGGCTCACCGGTCTTGGAGTCGACCCAGCCAGAGTAAGGCTTGCCCTTGATAACACCGTTGTGGTTCTTGATGAGACCCATGATCCAGGCCATCTCAACACAACCCTCAAGAGAAAATTCACCGTAGGCCTCCATCTCCCATCGGGTACGGGAGTTACCCCAGGGACCAACCTCAGCGAAACCAGTGACGACAACAACCTTCTCAAGATCAACCATACCCTTGAGGTTGTCGTTGAGGGGCTCAACCTCGGTCTTCCAGTCAGGACGCTTGGGGAAGTCGAACTTGATGTTGGCACGAGGGTCGATGGTCTTCTTCTTGTAGAGGACCTCAGAGGCAGCACCGTTGACAATGGTGTTCTCAATGGCGCTCTCCTTGGCAACAGCGCGGCGGACCTCGCTGGTCTCCATGATATCCTTGCGGAGCTTGGTCATGGTCTCGTTCAAGTTAGGAATGAACTGGAGACCACCGTTGAGATCAGCAAAGACAGGCTCGTTCTGGCACAAGTCAACCAGAGTGGGAGACATAAGACCGAGAAGGTTGAAAGCCATTTCCTGCTGAGAGAAAGTGCGAACGCCGAAAGCCTCGACACCCTCAGCAACAATGTTGTTGCCAGACATGAGACCAGTTCCACGAGTCCATCCAATGACAGCACCACAGATGGTGAGGTAGTTGGCCCAGCTCTCAGAGTGCCATCTGTTGAAGAGAGTCTCGAGACCGAGCTTGGACTCGGAGTAGAGACCATCGTTACCGAAGGTACCGTGGTTGGGAGAAAGGGGCAGGACAACCTGAGCAGGTCGGGTCTCGAAGCCACGCTCGGTCTTCTGAGACTTGACACATCCGAGAAGACGGACAAGGTTGGTAAGCATGATACGGTGAGCGAGCTCAGACTTGGAGTCAATGTTGTCAATCTCACGGCCGTTCTCGGGAATAGCAGCGAAAGGAACAATGAAGTCAAGATCCCAGCCAAGACCCTCCTTGGTGTCGTAGATGTACTCAACAAGAGCCTCAACATCCTGCTTGCTGCCCTGGTTGAAGGGAACAACGACAATCTGCGAGCCACGAGAACCGTAGCGGGTGTACATGGCCTGGTAGTACTCGGTGACCTCACGGGAGAAGCGGCTGGTGGTGACAATGACCTTGGCACCACCGCTGATGAGACCCTGGAGGACCTCAGCACCAATGGAACCAGCACCAGCACCAGTCATAAGAACGTGCTTGTTCTGGAAAGTAACACCAGACTTGGCAGCATCCTCCAAGCAGTTGAGGTAGACGCCAGTGAGCTTCTTGCTGTAGTCCCAGCCGTGGAGACCCTTCTTCTTGAGGTGAAGGAAGGGAATGGTCTCAACCTTGCCCTTGTTTTGGCTGTTCTTGAGAACCTTGCGTCCCTTGTTGTCCTTGGGGAGGATCTGGCTCTCGTTCATGGCAAGCGATCGGAGAACCTCACCATACAGGCTCTTGATCTCAAGCTGAGAGGTCTTGGACAGCTTGTGCTGCTGCTTGATGAGTCTGTAGATGCGGGAAAGATCGCTCTGAACCTTGGTGCGATTGCCGTACTCAGAGATCTTGCCACCCTCAGCCATTTGCTGAACGTAGTGCTCCAGCTTGCGGCAGCTGGCACGGGGGACTTCCTCGTAGTCGAGGTTACCTCGGGCATCGATGGTGGTTCGGGGACCGGTGGGGACAGCGACATCCTTGTAGACAGGAGCGACATCAAGAACGTCCTGAATGTTCTCAATGAGCTGCTGTCCGAGCTCCTTGGCAAGCTTG